AGCTGAATCAAGTTTTGAATAAAGGACAAATTTAATGATAGTAGCAATTCATAGCTTTTCCCCTTGGTTTGGGGCAGAGTATATAAATAAACGTACAGTACATGAGACAATGTACACAGTGGAGTAGTGGGGATTTTTTAAGTGGGGATACGTGATTTTATCAATGTGGTCACTATAGGACAGTACTGCAGATATCATGAGCCTATGCAGGTTGTTTTCACCATTGCCAATAGCTCCGGTTTGACATTTAAGCTGTAGGCAATATATTATATATATATATATATTTTTTTTTTTTATATATATATCTCATGTCGGGAGAAGTGGGTGGACGGTGTACCCCCACGTACCACGCTCACTACATCCCTAAATCTAGATACAACTACACCTATTTCTGACTGTCATAGATTTTAGCAACTTTCTCTAATTTTCACTATTTCCACTTTATGTTTTTCTTTTTCCCTTTTTGTATATATACCTTAGGAGTCAAAAGTGTCTCATTCAATATTGTTCCTCTTATTTTTACTACTTTCTACAATCAGATACATACGGAAGACATCAAATATATGAAGTAATGTATATGACTATGTAGCAAAAGAAAAAAGGTAATAACTTATTCATATACTTAAAGTAGCCACCCTTCGCTTTGCCTTTGCTTTATTTAGTAGTGTAGAACTTTTTTTTCATTACTACATAATTCCATATATATTGCTTCATGTCTTTTGTACATACAGTATCTCGAGTGTAAAACTAATAAAAATAAGGGGAAAAAACATTGAATGAGATGGTGTGTCCAAACGTTTGACTAGTAGCATACATTCAAAGCTTATTAACACTAAAATACCCAAAAACTTGTAATACAATATTATGCAAACATTACAAGTAGCATTCAGTACAGATAATTGCATCTCACATCATATCTGTATTTCTAACCGGCACCAAACACATCAAAAACGGTTCCAGTCTCATTAAAAACAAAGCAGTTAGTTATTTTTAATTAGACTCAGTGGCATAGAAGTGGCAACCAAAGCAAAATAAAGTCATTTCACAACAATAAAGGCATCTTAAAGCCATGTGTTTCAAACAATATTAGCTTTTCTACTGGGAGGTTAATCACAACACTCAGTGTAATTGTTGCTCATATTTGGATCACTTAAACCATAACAAGGGAATTATGGATTTTCATTTTGTATTGGGCAATTATAGCATTATACAATAGTTTATGAAGCCACTCGCCCAATGACAGCCATTCAAACATGCCACACGATAATGCAACAATATAGATTTGTGTTCATTAAAAAAAACATTTACTTATGGGAACACTTAAGCTGCAGTGTTTATTGTCATTAAAGATATACAAGATCATTCAATTTACATCAGTTCTTGTTGGAAATGGTAGCCTTTTAGACTTTATTGATCCAGAACAGGAATTATTTGGACACCGTAGCTCACACATCATAATATAATACAATAACAAAGAGCGAAAATATAAATGCTACTAATAAATTCAGAATATGTAGCAAAAATAGCAAGAGACTGGTGTCAAATAAGGCGTAAGTATACAAATGTATGTGTGCAAGTAAAAATAAAATATAGAAATATAATAATACAAATATATCTCAGCCATATACAGGAGGAGGCTAAGGAGAAACAGTGCAAAGATGAAATAATGATTGACAGTACACAGGGTTATCTGTTACATTAGGGTGAGTTGTTGTATGGAGTATGGTATGAATGTAGGCCTGTATCTCTCACTGTTTGAGCAAGCTGTAGGAGGTTGTTGGAGAATGAGCTCCTCTGTTCCTCTATAGACTGGTGCAGTGGTTTTATAAGAGTTGTAGATTATTTCAGCCTTACAAACATCTACAAAATACAGTTATTTTATTAATACTTTTTAAATGTAATCCTTTTTGACTGCAATAATGGGACTAAATGCTCATCAAAAGAGAAGTGAGAAGACCTTTCAACCTTCAAAAAATCCTCCAATAAAGTATTCCTGACCAAGTCTACTTCAGGATCTGAAAATAGTTCCCCAGGTGCTCCAGCGGCAGTAAAGGATGGGTCAAATGCAGAGGACAAATTTCCCTATGGGGACAATAAACGCTAACCTTAACTTTAATCCGACCTTAAAATTAAAAACTGCAGTTATTTTTTTATTAATATGTTTTAAATTAGAGAGGAGAAAAAGCGACCTTTCTATTTTACTGTTGCCTCTCCATAAAATATAAAAAAATAAGATGATATAGATTAAGAATTGCTACATTCAGGTAAAGGCCAGTGTGCAGTGGATATGTTGGAAAGGCACACAGAGATTTGCTTCATGTTGGATCAATGTGACTAATTTGCTCCAATTCAGCAGATTTCCATGATTCGGTTTCTACTGTCATTATATCAATACAGCCACTATAGGGTCAAGCATTGATTATTGCTGACTATATATGTTGCAAAACAGGGAAAATAACAAATGAATCAATAGATATCCAACGTGTGGACCTATTGCAATTAAAACCACACACAGAAATGAATCTAACAGCTGAAATAGATGAAACTTGGAATGCAATGGTTTGTTAGAACTTATTGCCCTATTAGGAATATCAGTATTTATTTATTTACCTTTTTTTAATATTCAGATTTTGTTGCCTTATATTATCCAATTAAAGGTTGTATGGAGGATTTTTTTTTGTTTCAAATTGTCAATGATAGCATTATAGAGGTGCAGTAGCCTTGTAATTATGATGACCAAAAAAAAGAGAATAAAAATTCATCAACTCTGGACGTGGTGGGGCTAAACATTTGCCAATAGATAACGACACTGCCTCATTATCTGTTAGCTGACAGGCTGTCAATCAATCTCCCTACGTTTCTAGCGTAACTGACTTGCCTGCGCGCTGCCGGTACGTGGTTTACGTACGCCTGTCACGCAGTCCACAGACGCAAGACGCACAGACGCTGTTTACTCCACCAACGCAACAGTTCTTAGCGGCTTTTTTTTTACCTATATCTTCCTCGCAGTTAGCACAAAGTTTGTTGCAATGGCGACAAGAATCCAGGAGCAGTTAGCCGCAAAAGAAAGTCCGTTTTTGAGGTCACTGAAAGAAGAAGACAAGGGGAAAAGCAGCGAAGCCAAACTAAGGTGATTCTTGAAGATTCATTCCAGCGATGGCGCGACTGAAGCAGACGCAGGGTCTAAAGACTGACGCATTGGTCGCCAAATTACTCCTGGACAGGTAACTTCTGCTTATTATGAAAACGTACTTTATTTCCAAGAGCTAGTCAAACGTTTTTCAGGACACGAAAGCGATATCCTATGTCTGAAAATGTAATTTTCAAGGCAAAGAAAGAGTCCGCTTGCTGCTGCATGTTGTAGCTAGTTCATTCGCACGGAATCTCCGCGCAACCTTCTCTGCACCCCTTTCCTGCTCCTGTCCCCGCTGCCCGTTCCGCTCTTCCCCCTGCTCCTCACTTCTCCGGGCACGGAATCTCCGCGCACCGCTCCCCTCTCCTCTCTCCCCACTCCGCTCTTCTCCCTGCTCCTCACTTCTCGTCCGCGCACGAAATGTCCGCACACCCGCTCCCCCCGCTCCTCACTTCTCCGCCTTGCCTAACCAACACTGTAGTTAGTTGTTTACAAGTCATGTGCAGCGCACCGGCTGTAAACAAACCTGTTTCTGGCGTAAGGAGGAGGCGGGAGGAGGCGTTTCTACGTAGGGAGCTGTAGGGGAGGGGGGGTGGTTTCACGCATGCGCAACATTTGAAAAAGGACAAACAGTCGCTGGATTTCTCCTTCCTTGGAAAATCCTCTATACAACCTTTAATGTAGTATGACTTTCAGTGCAGAGTAATATAATGTATGTATTTGTGTTTGTGATTGAAAAATAAGTGTGCTACCAAGCTTTATCACAATGGCTAAAAGATAACATTGGAAAATATGTAACTGACATTACAAACCAGTGGTCATATCTAACCTTTTTACTTCCTGAACATCAAATATGGTCACACATTTTATGTAACCAATTTTCCAAAGTTCAGTCCCACACAATGGCATTTCCTGGATGTGACATAATGTTCCTCAGCCCACTTTTGTCTATCTATAGTCCCCACTGTGATTCAGCATTGAGTGAGCATAGACTTACTATAGCAGCACGAGCCATGAAGACGACTTCTTTTTTCCATAATAAGTTACACGAGACAGAGTGACAGTGTGGGCACATTTCTCCTCTGCGGTTGCTCAGATTTTGTGATCTCCAAAATCCTCTAATGCAACAGTCCTGCCGAGATTTTTAGAGGGATGTGGAGAGAAATCAGAATACAAATGAATGTCTAGACAGTGGAAGCTGTCAGCGGCACCACCGCATATCCACCAAATTACTGCTCTCAAAGAGAAAGGGGCCCAAGCAAAGGACTCACAATTTAAAGGCTTTTATTGAAGCGCCAAATCTTTTGGATGAGTCTATTATTATGCATAACAAAATCTAGCTTTGTTCTCTTTATTATTTCCTTCGAGCTAAAATAAGTTACAATCTAATACTAAAATAACCACACTACTACAGTACTACCATCAGGAAATGCACAAATGCAATCTAGCCATTGAATTAAAATTTAAAGGTATACTGCATCACCTTTCTCTTGGGGCATCTGCCACTATCTCCTTGATGTTATTATTATCACAGTATGACATTAAGCTTTTCTATGTTGCATTTAATCAAACAGAGTCTCTATGAATAAAAAATGCATTTTTAATTCGCAAGCATCTTTAAAGCTACCAAAAACTTCTGTAGTTTAGCTATGGGCAATTAAAATCAGCCATATTCCACTGTCTGCTGTTCAGTTTACAAAGTACTGAGTAGAGTTTTGCCACTAAAATTATTCTTTCACAATTCAATAACTCATTTTTTTCCAGCAATTTTTACACAACAACAAATCTTGAAACATCTTTTCCATTTCTGTATTAAATACAAGAGGTTGAATGAGCAGTGCTTTCAAAGAGGCTACAGGACACTTACCCCATGAGAGGGTCCACTGCGATCCCCTTCGGATTAAGCAGGTCCAGCTGTACTATGGTCACACAGGTCTCTCCTCTCCGGTCACACACGAATATTTTATCATTCACTCGGTCGGCAAAGTAAAAGTTTCCTGTCAACCAGTCGATGGCCATTTGTTCCACATCTACAAAGAAAAAAGTAAACACATAAATAAATAGTACTATAATACTGAAAGTGCTAGCAATGGAGTGAAAAATGATTTGAATGCCAAAATCAATACTGAAGATCTTAACCCCTGTTGTTCTACATTTCATATTTATGGTTTTGAGGCTTTACATCAGGTTCCAACAGTAACCTTGTCAATGTATTCTGGTGTGGGAGTTAATGTTAGTTTGGTTTACCATATGTGCATCAGTGGTTAAACACTAAAACTATAATATTCTCGAAAAACACATGCACACAGCCAAAACAAATGAAGAATTGTATTGCTCAAAATGAACTGTCAAGAGCAGAACTACCAACTACTGGATAAGATTACTAGTAAACAGAACTACTAGTTTCAAAATGCAATTATTCCAAACTAAAATTGACATCTGCTATTAGACGTTCAAAAGATGCTGGAGCTTTTTCACAAAAAACTGTATCATGTAACCTTTAAGACTTTTGAAACCTTGAAGTCTTTAGGTAACACACTTTAGGTAGTTTTTGGGATACAGTTATTTCAAGTTCAAACTCAAAAATCAATGTATATCAATGCTATGACCCAAATGTGTCAAATGTAACTACAGCAGGACCTTTATTGCCTATAGACTGTGTGATTTAGTCCACAATAGCAGCAGGTCTGACACTCTGCCCGCCGATCTTGGCACCGAGCTAATGGACTGGTAGCTTTTGGCACCTCGTAGCACTTCTTTTGTCCACATTTTATAGAAACCCTCTGTGTGCATTATCCACTGCTGTACCAATTATAGTATTCAATCTGCTAATGCACTCTCCTCACAATGTCTAACAAGATAAAGGCCAGCACATAAAGGCCTACGTAGTAAAACTGAATAAGGAAAGATGTAGTTCCAAAGCTGCTTACAATATAGCTTTATGAGTCATACATTATTTAAAACATATATAAGGGCGAGCAGTTATTGATGTGTGATATTCTTATTTACTTTTGGCTTGTTTTAATACTTTTGGTACAGTGGCCTCTTTGTATACCAGCATATAATATAGGTTTATGCCCTTCCTGTTGTAACTTGCATAAACCTAGACCTGAGACAGTGCGAAGAGTATATTGGCTTGAGGTGCACCATTATAACACTGTCAGGCTTGTTGTTTACGCATTTGAAGTATCCGTCCATTTCCTGCCACCCACTCTCATCTGATCAAAATTGAATCCCTTTTTCATTGTGAGGCCATCCTTTATTTCGATTGTTTTCTCACTTTTTTCTCAGTCAAAGACACATCATAGTTAAGCAAGGGTTTTATGTTGTACCCTATCCCCATAGCAAGTTCTTAGTAGCTCATCAGGGGATTACAAAATTCAAACTAACATTTGATGAATTGCAATTGTAAATATATTATTTTGATGCCTAACTTGGATAATGGATAATGGTTTATGATTTGTAAGCATCTAACTACACCCCATCTAAGGTTTGTTGTTTCTATCTCAACTCTCAACTCAAGTTTCTTGCAACCGCTATAGCTCTCAGGCATTTTTGTTTTGTAAAGGTAGCTCACTGGAAAAAAAAAAATGTTGGAGACCCCTCTTGTACACTGACAAATGCAATATATACTGTATATTAGGAATGGGACAAGATCTCGCATGACAAGATCTCGTGAGACAAAATCGCCACAAGATTGTGAACACATGAGGAAAAATATCTAGTGAGATTTGTTTCCTAGTTTGAACAGAAAAGGGGTTAAGTGTTGCTGAGTTACATCTATTATAGTTCCAAAAAGCAATAGTTAAATAGCAACAAAACATAAATTCTTAAAACTAAATTTGGAACTCGCAATCACAAAATGTATATAGTAATAGGATTTATGTTCAAATATTGCTTTGTCTCGTTCTTGAAGACCAAATCTCACATCTGGTCTCATGCTATATATATATATATATATATATATATATATATATATATATATATATATATATATATATATATATATTATATTATTTTTTTTTTTTTTTTCCTGATACTGGGTCCTAATTCTAATTCATAGAGGGATTAAACAAAACATTTATGCATTGTGTTTTATATTTAATAGCTATTGTAGTAGCTCACTTGAATCAACTTGTTATACTTTAAGCTGGCATGGAATAAAACTAATATATATGATAGCTTATATATATTCAATATGTTACCCCATAAATATAATAAATAATGTAAAACCTATGGACATATGCCAGCATGCCCTGCACTACCTGACCTGGTTTTTCCTCTTTCTCTGCAGGAGATTCAGTGGGTTGCCATGACAGCGGTAGGTAACCTTGTTCAGAATAAACTCTCTTTTTAGCCATTTATTGTTGTTGAATGTTTGTTGTAAGCACAGGTCAAAAAAGCCGGAGACAAACTGAGAGAAAAAAATAAAAAGAAAGTGTCTTTAAGGTAAGAAAGAAAAGAGGGAGCAGATTTGAAGGACAGCTGAGGGGCAGAGGTGAAACTGCAGAGGTCAGACTGTCATTAACCACACATCCAGTGAAGACAACAGGGGAGCTTCTGGAGAAAAAATAAATAAATAAAACAGTACTAGAGAGTGTGCATAAGATAAGTAACTCAGATTTGCGTAAGAAGCTTTTTGCCTCACAGCTAAAAGGATTTGAGTAAAAATAACCAACAGTTACTACAAGGCCAGTATGCTATAGTTCAGGTGAGACTTAGAGCCTGTCCATTAAGCCTGAGGTTGGTGTTTCAATGGTAACATATGTAAATGCACAATGCTGTTGTGTGCTCGGGCAAGATATTTCAAGCTCATTCTCATTCCAGTGTGCTGAATGTGTTTCTATCAATGAATGTAGCTAAGAGGTGAATGAATAATGTAGCAAACTGTAATGAAGAAAAAGCATAATTGGTTTAATTATATACACTACTGGTCAAAGGTTTTAGAACATCACACTTTTTCGAGTTTTTTACTGTTTATTGTGTCCTTGCACTCTGAAATGAAAGCATAGAATAAATAAGCAATTTGAGTTGCAAAAAGAAATCATGGAATCAATTTATAGACCAAAATATATTCTAAACATATGACTCAAAGTGTTCTCCTTTGGCAGATATAACAGCTGAACACTCTCGTGGCATTCTTTCTAAAACAGAAATCAAATATTCTTCAGAAAGTTCTTCCCAAGTCTGTTCCAGAAGTTCCCATAAATGTGTGGCACTTGTACGTTCTTTGGTTTCTGTCCAGTTCATCCCAAAACCAGCTCGATGGGGTTTAAGTCTGGAGACTGTGCTGGACACTCCATGTTTTCAAGTTTACCATCTTGTTCTTTTTTCCTGAGGTAGTTCTGCAGAGCTTGGACTTGTGTTTTGTATCTTTTATCTTTTTCTCTAATCTCTGGCTGTTCAGTACTTTCCTTTACCTGCGCGACTTGAATTGCAATAAATAACTGGAAGAATTAGGGTGTTCTAAAACTTTTGACCAGTAGTGTTTTTATAATAACAATTACTATTTGCAAACCATGCCCAAAATTCTAAAACTACATACCTGGAAGGATGGTAGGAAAAAAATCAAAGGTAGTCTAGAAAATGTTCTTGAAATTGAGATGTCTCAGTATGAAAGTACTGGGGTGAAGAGTATTTATACCCTATGACTTTTGCGTAGTTCTGCTGTTCTCTGCCAACCTCACCTTCACTACTCTAAACCCAATTGACTGGCTTTGTTTTGACGAAGGTTTGAGGAGGCTATTATACACAAAGGCAGGCTGTAAAAACTCTGTTCAAAGAAAAACAAACCTCCTCTTCTTTCTGCATACAGTCTGCACAACACTGTCTTTAAACAAATGAATAATCAAGCACAGGCCTTCAAGAAAACAAAGCTACAAAAGACTGAGGTTTGAGAAACAGCACAACCAGTAACTAAATAACTAAACTCTTACTAGTATGTACAGTACATGCCGGAAAAATAAGGTGTATATTTAGTTATGATTTCAAGAATATCTGAGAGGAGATGTCTTCTGCATTTGGAAGATACATGCAAAAAATTAGAAGCTGTGATTAAATCAGTTGGTTCTAGAGCCTTCTGCATAGAACATAAAAGGAGCTAGGACTGGCTGGTTATGCAAATAAAACCATGCACCTGCCTAATGAATAAATAAAATCCCAGCAGTAGTTAAAAGTACATACGCTGTAAGCTCCTCTGCGTCCTGATCTCCCTCTCCCTAGTGAAGCCGCGCAGGTTTCTAGTTTCAGCGCAGCGCAGGGTCCCAGAGCTCTCGGTGGACAAGAGCCAGCACACCGTTTCCTGGCTCTGCTGGAAGTCCAACCACACAGAGGCGTTAGCACCCAGAGAGCGGAGGGGCTGCAGGCCAGTGCCGTTCAGACTGGTCAGGACGATCCGACTGGGGCCCCCGAGCAGGAGCACCGGTCTGCTGTCTCCAGGGTCTGAGGGGACAGAGAAACAGGAGGGTATGGGTTATTCAAGATGTAGAAGGTCTCGTGAAATTATTAGTACAGGTTTAAGACAGTGATGCTTTGAGAAAGAAGTAAACTTTTCTGGTGGAGGATCTGTCAAATCCCTTTCTCTGTGGAAATGTTATTGCTTTGTTGGAATATTTCACAGTACAGTATTAAACCTTGCTATGTTCATGGAGACCAAATCAGACCAAGTTACAGGTCAGGTTTGTGGAGAGGCGACCCTGCTCACAGTCAGAATGCCAGTTTTTCTAGACATTTCTGAGTTATAAAACCACCTGTAATTGAATAAATGTAAGGTAGAGCTGTTTAATGTTATATTGTGGAACATTCCAGTCAGAGCAGTGACATAGTACACCTTTATAAACATTTTAAATATCAAATAAAAGTAATAATAATACAAGGTGAAGTAAACTGAAGGTCTGTTGTCAGATTTATGGAGACAAATCTGCACATGATGGACTGAGAAGAACAGGAAAATGGAGGAAACTGTTTCTGCGATTAGATGGGCAAACTGTATTATTTCCTCCTAGTGCCACACAATTTTCACCACAAGATCTTTATTTGAAAATAATATACACATTTTAGTTTTTAACAGTTTTGTTCAGAGGAATTGTCTCAACAAGCTTACAATTTGCTTTGAAAACAAAAACTTTACAAAATACATAAAGTTACTTGATTGTTTGTAAGTTACACTAAAGGCTATAGGATAATACAATCTTGCTGGAAAAAATCTTGCTACAGAAAAGTAGTTTATTCTCCTAGTTACATCAGTCCCTGAATTTATAGCGATCCCAAACCACTGGTCCCAAACCTGCCTTTTAAAAGTTGCATCAATAGAATCTTCCAGAGAAATAAGTTTTCTAAAATCAATGTGCTGATTATTGAATACTATGACAAAGCCAGAAGCGAAAGCCACAAGGCAAAATGTGATTAGCTTCAGGGGATAAAACACATTTAAGTCGTAACTGACAAGAATTTAGCATATTCTGATTTTGTGCGAGGCTAAGCATTGTGGATTATTCATGCAAACTAAATCCAAGGCAAAGAAACATTAGCACTTTTTTTCCAGACAACCTCCATGTTCTTCTAAGTTGTTTAAAAGTTTAAACAAAGAGCTGCAATTGTAATAAAAGCAATAAATCAGGAAACCAGCAGCACTTTTCTTCTCTGTCTGAATGATTAAAGAGTTGGACATTTGTGAATTTGCTTTTCAAACTTGGTTTCCATCAAAAATAAAAACAAGGTAAATAAACTTTCTGAAATGGAATGTATAGGCCTTAATGGTGCACTAGGACACATCTCTGTTGGTAGGTCTGTCTCCATGGAAATGTATCATATTTTTCGGACTGTAAGTCACAGTTTTTCTCATGGTTTGAGTTCTTCGACGTATACTCTGGTGAGACTTATGTATTAAAATTTTCACACTGACAAATGTAAGAGGGCGCTCTAGGTTTGTGTGTCTGTATCTGCTACTCCTATTACTCCTGTACCACTGTCACTTCACTCTACTGCGCATGTCTCCTGCAGAAAGAGCTGCTGTCCTGCTGCATGTAGTGAAATATGCAGGCGAAAACAGTAATCGAGCAGTTTGGAGTGAGCGAAAAACTTGTGAGGGTCTGGTGGAAAGTGGGGATGGAGAAGACAGCCTCACGGTAAAAGTGGGGATGGAGAAGACAGCCTCACGGTAACCGGGAGGGTGCTCCATGGAACTTTCCCCGAAGTCATTGAATAGATCGACAAAGCCTGGACTTCAGTGACAACCGAAACCATCCTGTCGGGATTCAGAAAGGCCGATAATTTTCACTGGAACTGATGCTGAGTCTGACGACAGCTACACAGAAGAGGAAGCAGTGCTCCGTTTACCTCCAGAGGTCACGGAGTTGCTCAGAAGTGACACAGAGGCTGTAGAATTCAATGGATTTAGTGATTTGAAGTGAGATGGAGTGTGTTAAACTTGTAATGTTGTTTATGCTATAGTTATCTGAATAACTGTTCAATTGTGACATTAACAGCCTGTTGTTCTCTGTTCTATTGTTATTACTGTAACTTACCTTTCAAGATGAAATGTTGGTTCCTGGTCTGTGATTTTATAAAAAAAAAAAATTTTATTCCACCAAAAAGTCCGACTCATAGTCTGGTGCGAATTATTTGTTTTTTTCTTCTTCATAACACATTTTTTAGCTGGTGCGACTTACACTCCGGAGCGACTTATAGTCCAAAAAATATGGTAATTACTTTACTTTATATCTCTTACTATTAAATTATAGGTGTTTTATTTTATCATTTTCCATTCCATTACCTTCAAAAACATGCATTCTTACATATCTGGCCTGTAATTTGGCCTAGTGGTATCAACAGCTTGTCTCCATGGACATAAGTTTAATGTCATACTGTGAAACATTAAAAGCAAAGCAATAAAATAATGGAAACAACCAGGTGGAGGACCTTCCATTGAAAAAGTTACACAGTGTTCCCTTTTTTATACAATACACATTAATATAACCAAATGCTGAATTTCTTTTGGCTTCCATAATACTAAACTCTTAGCTGGATGACAGCCCAATTATAAGCACTGAATTAATTAGGCCCAAACCTATTTTCACATAATTTGGCAAGGAGAGAAGGAACAAGGAAAGGAAAAGGGCATAGAAGAAAGTATACTACATAATCATCCAATCCAGTTAAAAATATCTTTTAACAATTTAAAGTCTCGCACGTTACCTCAAAAAACTTTAAGAAACCAATATTCATCTACAATTAACAGTAACAAAGTAGTTTTAGTGTAACAATTTTGATCTTATTTTCCCACATTACTTGCTATATTCCCTTGCCTGATTTGTGTTGACACTCACGCCACGGGGTTGCTGCTCAGATTCATGTAAATAACAACAAATAGCATGAATAAATATTTCTGTTCCCATTTAGTAAGAGCAAATTGCACAAACACACAACCCATAACTGCGTAAATGTAACTTCAAACTCCTGTGCATTTCATACAAGCCCCCTCGTCATACTTTGGCCTTTTGAGACATTTAAATTCATTGCTTTTACAACTAACGCTAACCCCGTGTACGTGCTAAATGAATATTGATGCATGTGAGCGTTGGGTTGAGTTAAGTTTATGGGTAATCATATTCACTTTATTCCTCGTAGGGCTGCAGTCATATTGATTAAATACACAGTCGCTGTAGTTGTCCCCAGCTAGGTCTAATGTGCCTCTAGCCATTTTCAACCCATATACGCCAAACATTCAAAAACGCATCTACTACTCCACTTTGTAAGGAAAGATATAAAGGTGCATTGTCTAACTTTTCTGGTACAAATACTGCCTATGTTAGTCTACAGTATGAAAGTAATAAGCCTGGTCATTACAATGGTCAGATCTATGGAGAAGCAAGCCGACACATGGAAAGAATTCACGTATTTTTGAGCTATAAAACACCTGTAAGTAAACAAAAACAAGGGAGATACGTTTAATGCCCTACTGTAGAACATTCCAGGCAACAGAAATCACATCTCCATGGAGACAAGCAAGTAGCAGACTCTCCACCTTATGAGTTACACGTACACCTTTAAGCTAGGGTAGGCTAAAGGCTAAGGCTAAAGGGTACTATGTAACCTTTTAGTTGGGGGTCACTTTCTTGTTTCTAGAGATATGCCATTGCTCTGCTTTGAATATTCCACGATGACGTTAAACACATCTACTTTACATTTTAGGAGGTTATACTGCACAAAAATTCCAAGAAAAACAGGCATTCTTGTATAAAAGTATATATATATATATATATATATATAAAGAAAGATGTAATTTAACAAAGGCTCAAGTTAGGTAAATCACTAATAAAAATCCGGGCCCAACTGGGGTAACTTAATTCAAACTGAACAGAACAAAACTAACCCAACCAAACAAAGGAACAGGTGCATTTAAATATACGAGGGCCAACGAAAACTGAACAATAGAGGGAGGGAATTACACAAAATAATTAACCAAAACTACTAACTTACTCAAAGTGACAAGAAGGCAACTAAGTATAATACAGAAAATAATAAGTGATAATAAAGTGACCTTAAACAAACTAGACAAATTAACTTAAAAAACTAACTAAATAGTGCACCCCCTTTGTTTGGCATGTATGGTGTCTGCCAAGGGTCCTTGTCTGGCCACTCATAAAAAGAAGAAGAAGAAGAAAAAAAAGTGTAAATAAAAATGCACTCATATTAACAAAAATGTGTGCACAAAATTAGAATACAAGTCTAAATAAAGGAATTAAATTATGTGTACTGTAATTAACTTAATGTAAATGAAATGAGATAATACTAACACTGGTGGAGTGATGGCAGAAGTATCCACAACACATGTAACTTGGCCTGGTTTGGTCTCCATGATGATTAAAAAAAAAAGTTTTGAAGCCATACTGTAAAACATTCCCGACAAAGCAATAGCATATCCATAAAGACAAGCAGGTAGCGGACCCTCCACCGGAAAAGTTAGGCAGTGCACCTTTAAGCTTGTTTACTTGTAATTGCGGGACCACCTGAACGTAATGACCGCTTTTTGTAAGTAGGCTATTTCGCGCAGTGGAACAGATTTGTTACAAGAATCAGGCATTAGCATAAATCAAGAGTGACGCTGGCTATTGTCCGCGAAACAAAATGCTCCCACTTAAAATCTCACGCTCATTAATTTTATCATTATGCGGTCTGACCATGTCTACCTGCACCCAAGTGGTGATAGATGTGGTCACTATATGCAAGCATTAATCTTAGTCTATAGAATGTAGGCTGTGTGTACGGTGCGTATGAGCAGAGCGGTTTCTTCAATGGAGCTATATAATGTAAAGTAAGTCATGATTATGTTAGCATTATTACTTTGTTATTATTTGGTTTGTGTCCAAAAACTTTTAAACATTACTTTTCAGATAACTGGAATAGTAGCAGTTTGGAGTAGTAGTTTATTTGACAAGCAAAACTATATGAATGTTACTTTGAGCACTGTTTTACATGTAGTTTACAATTTACATACAGTTAGTGCAAAAATGTAAAATGTATAAAAAAATAAAAATCTCCAGATGTTAAGGTAGTGACTTACAGAACCTTTTCAGAACCGAAGAATAGGGAGCCTGCCTGATGACGTCCATGAAAATAGATACTAACTCATGGCCTTTTGTTCCCACAATATGTAATTTGTTCCCGCGCTTTATCTAAATCGTTCCCACGCTTTAGCTAATACGCTCCACACATTAGCCAAATTCGCTAATGACACACCGTAGGTTCAGTCCTGGTTCAGTTCTGGCAATCGGTTCTGCAGTTGTGGCGTGTATATATTTATAATCCGCTAATGACACGGCATAGGTTCAGTCCTGGTTCAGTCTTGGTCCAGAATCCGTGTATCATTCGTTTTTTCGTTTTTCAATATAAAACCAAAAATAAGTTATGAGAGAATTCTAATACTCCCAAGTTCTTATTTGCTTCTAGTGTATTTAATTTTTAAAACGTGGGACCGATTTAGGGAAAACACGAGGGAACGAATTAGCCAAAACGTGGGAAGGATTTAGCTAAAACGTGGGAACGAATTACATTTTGTGGGAACTAAATAGTAATTTGAGGCCATGATTTAGTATCTTTTTGTTTGTCCAGTTAACAGAATAAAATGTTTTTTTTGTTTTTTGTTTTTTTTTTTTGGGGGGGGGGGGTTGAGACTAAGAGTCTAAAGAAGAGTATAATCTATTCAAAACATTGAAAAAAAGATGTCCCCTAAATCTAATCTAATTTCACTGACTGAACCTTATTAATAAGATAATACAATACACGACATACTACTATTACTATTACTACATACTGCATACTACTATTATTATCTAATATAGAAGACTGACACTGACAATCTGCATTTCTGTGAGTGGTTCAGCTAATGAAAGTTATGACAACACATCTAGTTGCATCAGGTAAAATTTTTGCATCACTAGCGTAAATAAGGGTCGCAAACTAAACCACATTACTTCATGAGAATAATACATGAAACAATTCTGAAAAACACACAACCTACTCTTTATACATGCTACGTGTGTGAACGCGTATACCCGTGTTTCCCTGTCATTTACATTAATCTTACTTGATAGATTGTGCAAATGATCCGTGCAGTGGTAGCGTAGTTGAACAGAGCTGTTTATTATTAGCGGTGAAGATCCAGCGTATGCAGATGAAGTTGTTTGGCGAGGCGGGTTTTGTGCTCACCTTGCTTGGCTCTGCATGATCTCCCGTCAGGCTGTAGCGCGTATCCTTCGGCGCAGCTGCATCGGTATGACCCGTAGGTGTTAGAACAGGTCTGGCTACACGCGCCGTACATCGCACATTCATCATGATCTTATGGAGAGAGGGGGAAAAAAAACAGAAAAGAAAGTCATTTGTAATGAATTAGGTGTGTTCAAACATGACCCAAATACATAAAGTATATTTAATGTGGTCTTACTCTGCCACCTCAGGCATAATTACTTTTATAAGCAAAGAGAGCGCTGCCTTCTCTCATGCACGGATCAAACTCACATAGTACTCTGTTACAGCTAGTCAAAAGGCGCATTTATGCAGTTTTATGTTGTTAGTGGAAATATCTGGGGCTAAAAAACTGCCATATTTCAGCCTCAAAGCTCATGTTCCCTCAATCCCAATGCGCAGCCTTTAGTCAATGGCCCATCTAATGCTGCTGTGATAGAGGCCTACATTATGCTCATTGGGTTTGCATAAGATTAGGCTGTTATTGCGGCTCAGTTGGTATTGAGTTTGAAGGTTTACAAAACTGAAGGATGCACTGGTAGAATACTTGTTTTGACTAATATTAGACTGATAGTACTGCAGAAATATATGCATACAGATTCAACATCCATTTTTTCACAAATAAAAAGAAAAGCGTATGCAAAAATATTCAAGGGAAAACATATGTATTATAGTATGTTTTTCTTCTCTTCTGTTTGTGCATTGTATATTGCATAATGACCAAGCATTCAGTTTATGGGTTTCAGCTATATGTAACATTTTTACAACTTTTGTTCATTCAAAAGATATTATATATAGTTTTAAAGGGCCCACATCATCCTATTTTCTGATCTATGTTATAATATCGTTGTGTTATGTTTCATTCAGACATGTTTAACACACAAACCCTGCATATTTAGACTGTTCCACCTTGTGATGTCATGTGGTAATACAGTAAGTGCTCCATATACTTTCACTAGAATCATTTGGAATTGTCAATTTTGATCTTTGGAGATGTAGACAGACTAATAATAAAAGATTACTCAGATATGTGTGAATAAAACAAAACACAACTCCAGGTCTGTTTTTGAAGAGGTAACAACATTCTTAAAGCTCACAGGAGTTGATTTTGCGAAATATAGCATCTTTTAAAGCAGGGGTCATCAAACTAAGGCCCTATGAGGCAGTCCTCAAAAGTTGTCATGTTTTTTTTTTTTTTTTTTTTATTACTTTTTGGCAAATAGTAACATGTCTGGGTCCTGTACTTTGTTGATTTTTTTCAATTAAAAATATATATTTATTTGAAGTATTTATATTTAAATAATGAGATGAAATATTTACATTTACTGCTGAATTTTCATCACCTGACTAGTTCGAGATCAAACAGTGACAGTCAATGCACACACAGACTACTGTAGTGCATTTAAGGACAGCAAAATGGCGAGTGTTAAAGTACGAAAAGTTAACAGAGAGTGCTGAGTTTTCAAAGAACAGTGCACTACCGATTATTTTTTTGTTCAGTATAAGGGCCGTGCAGTTTGTTTGATATGTAAAGAAAGTGTGGCAGTTTCAAAGAATATAATCTGCATCGTCACTATGAAACCCGCCATAAAGAGTATACTAGCTTGCGAGGGCAAACGAGAGAAAATAGGATTCAGCGGATGAAAGGCTGACTGGTTGCTCAACAGCATGTATTCCTTCATTGGCCTACCCAACCCCGGGCCCCCCATCACAGTCAGGGCTGATAATGTGGCCTCCAGAGAAAAAAGTTTGGTGACCCCTGTTTTAAAGTGTCAATTGCTATGGCAACAGTCCTAATTTTCATCACTCTGAAAGCCATGGATAACAAGCAAAGGGAAGTGAATTGAAAGGAAATAATTACCTTTACTTGGAACACTTTTTGGTTGGCTATTTACATTCGTGTGAAACTGGGCCACTGGTTAAACTTTGCCATTTTAAATATTGAAGCACAGACTTAAATGGGAGATTGAGACTGTTGAATTATGAACAGCACAGAGCATACATGATGTGCCAGAGCATATATGTGTGTCTTATATGAAGCCCTGCTGCAGACAGATGGTTGAATGCACTGAGCTTCCTGCTTATCCATATGAAGGAAGTGTGGCCCACGGAGCACCATAAAGGGTGTTCAGGGAGAAAAGTAGAAGGATGTGCCAGTCAATACACTCATTTTTACAAGACTGTATAGTCACAGCTGAATTATACTTTGTTTACATTAAATAAAAATGGCAAAAGGTTTTATTACATAATTATATAGTATAGATAAATGTTTCCTGCTAGTCAGAATTAAGATCGAAATTAATAACTTCCTGATAAAAAATACCATAAACCAGCAAGTGACAATATTGAATTAGGACAGACCTGGGCATTGTCCAGCTACAGCCACATACAGCCCTTTGGTTGACTCTGACCAGCCCTTTTAAGCTAATTTGGAATTACAAAATAAACATATTTTCAAATTTTACTTCATGCATGGACTAAAGCTGCATTGCTTTTATTTTAGGTGTTTTTTTTGTTTGTTTTTTTTTATTACATTTTTTGTAAGGCAACCTCACTTTTTCACTTAGTAATGGCATAAACTCTTACCATCATCTTGTCCAAACAATGCTATTTACTCCTTTTTATAAAGAAATACAATTAATATTACGCAGAATTGAGTTTAGCATTTTGGCCTTACCTTCCACAATATTTTCTGTTTTTCATGTGGCCCCATGGAAAAAAATAATTGCCCACTCCTGTCTTATAGGATCTCTAAACAGCAATCATCGGAAAGATCCAAAAGTAAAATATGCAAATCTTTAAGGATGCATGATATATAGGTTACAGTATCGGCATCGGAGTGTATCGATACACATTCTTTGATATCTGTACCAGCTAATATTGATATTCAGTCCTGATATTTTTTCTCATTGCCCCATTGTTGTAATTGTTACTTTAACTTTGTGAATCTCGGTATGAATTTTAAAAGCAAAATATCGGTTATAGGCCACAGCAGCAGGCAAAATGACAGATATCGGTATCAGCTCAGAAATCCATATCGGCCCCTTTACTACTAATACTGTCCCTGATACATTATCACACATTTTACATACCACTAAATCTTCACATTTGCCATTGTAATTTTACCTGCCCCATTTTAATTATACAGGCCTAATGTAATGATGTCATCTGAACCCTGGCATTAAACACATGTACATCTATCATTTCTTAATTGTCTATGTATGTGGATTTGTGCAGTTTATTTAAAGTGTCTATTTTCCTAGTCTGAAACTCTGAGCTGACAAGAGGAAAAAGAGTGCGGGAAAGATTAGATAAAAAAGGAGAAGAAAGAGAATATAAAGGAGAAGAGAAGACAAGCTGTACACAAACAGAACTTTCTAGCCCGTTTAGTAGCGTAAGTAAACCCACCTTGACAGCTCGTGCCATCGTCCCCGACCTCGAAGCCGTCGGCACAGAAGCAGAAGGTGCCGTTCCTGGTCATGATGCAGCCGTATCTGCAGCGGAGCTCATGGCACGCCGACAGCAGCTCTGCACAAAGACAGGGGGTATATATGGTAGAAGGTCATGGAGGAGAGGAAAGCTGGAGAAAGAGTTTAAGGAACAGGAATGTCACGATAACAAATTTTGAAGCACGATATGTTGCTGAAGAAAATGTAGAGGATGGACGATAATACTGACACTAATTCATACCACTGACGCAGTAACTCTAAAGCAGATTTATGCCACAAAAACTATTCTAAATCTACAATATTGTAAAATCTTTAATGAGACCTTGTAATGAGTCTACATCTCAGATCTTATAATATAGCCAGAAAATAACCACAAATGTCCCAGTAGTGCAAGAAAATGTACATACAATAAATACTGACCCCAAAAATATACTGTTCCAGCTTTCATATACTGAATGATAAGTCGATACAGAAATGAACATGATAGGCCTTCTTTATTTTCATGACTATTTATATTGTAGATTCTCATTATAGGTATCAAAACTACAGAAAAATGCATATGGAATGTAGTAAATAAAAGCAAACCCAAAATAATTCAAAACTTGTTTCTGATTTTGCTTTTGATTAACATTCATTGACCCTGACATGGCACACCCCAGTACCCCAAAACCATTTCAGGTGACTTCATCATAAAGATCACTAACACTGAGAGAAGGGTTTGTGGTGCTGTCAAGAAGGCAAAGGGTGGCTGCTTTGAGGAATTTGAATCTGAAAAAAAAAAAAAAAGTGGAAGGATGTCACTTTGTTGTCTTTGCTACAACTTGTTTTGTACATTTGACATCATCCATATGGATCTAAAATGTAAAAAGTAAAGAAAAACAACACTGACTAAGAAAGTATGTCTAAACTTTTCTCTGAATGTATACATGAGAAAGGTCATGGAGGAAAGAAGAGGTGAACTAGGAGAAGAGGTTTTGATTTTTGGGGAAATTGCATTCGGGTCCTCTCTCATTGCGCTCTTTTCATAGACTTCCTTATCAGTGAGAGCAGGGAGGGACATTTCAGCTGACCGCTGGACTTTTCAATGGAAAGGCAAATTAACAGAAAGTGCAGGGGATTAAATAGTGAAAAATACCAATAAAAGTACACTGCATTCCTTTGTCCGCACTGAGACTATTGCTACCGAAAAGACATTGCAATCATACTTCCCAGATTTCTAGAAAAAATACACCCAAGAAAAATAAGTGCATGTGTAACTTTTCAGGTGGATGGTCGGTCATCTGCCTGTCTTCATGGTGTTATTACTTTGCCTGGAATTCTGCACAGTATGGCATTTATTTATTGCAATGCCCAAAATACCTTGACAAAAATGCATTATTTCTATGAGCAGGGTCGTCTCTCCAAAGATCTGACCTGTAACTTGGCCCTGTGTGGCGACACCTGCTTGTGTTCATGTACAAATTCAATGCCAAACCATGGAGCAATCTGGACAAAGCATCTCCATGGATACAAGCAGATGTTGGACAAACCTTCTCCCCAGAAAAGTTACACAATGCACCTTTAACTTAATCGTGCACAGCTATATGGATTCTTGTGATATTTGTGAGCTCAGAATCCATCTTGGCATGGGAGGGGGAGGTCAACCAAGTTGTGGACAACCAATCACAGAGCACCACTGAAGTCCGTGTGGACCAAACAGAGTCATGATGCTCCACGTTCTCCTTGGTGCTTTGTGTTGAACTCAGATTTAGATTCAAAGAGCTACACATATCAGTCTGGCATGACTTATAGCTCAAGTATTTCCACCTCTCTGCATTTACCCAGCCGGATTTATCAGCCGGTTTCACTTTGTAGAAACTGTCTGACCTCGCAGTGTTAGAATTTGTTCACTCGATGGTAGGTGGGTACTTTTCATCATTTAATCAATCGCTGCTATTTGGTCATGACATATGTAATGTGCCGCTAACGGGGCTAACTGGTATATTAATCTTTTCCCAAATCCCGTTGGAAGAAGGGCAGTAACGTCACCAAACATTCTCTTTGTTCCGGCTTTAAATCCTTAATCTGGGGAATCTTTGCCAACACTGAATATATGGCTCTTCGCTGATTGGCTGGTACCTGAACTTGCACTTCTGGGGTTTTTGCGAACCATCTAGTGTATTTTGATTCCTGACCTAGTTGCTGGAGAGAAATGAAATTGAGCGTAGGCAGTAGGTGGCGCCAGCCTGGCTAACATTTACCATGATGACGACTGTAGAAAAAGGGACTTTACCATGCTTTGGCAACATATTAATCCTATTTTATGGAACAAACTCAAATGAAGACAAGCACTCAAACCAGCAACGAGCCCTTAAGACATCTGAGGTACCTTGTCTGTAATTTTCAACGAAACTAGCCACCAAATTATGTGGTTTTACATTTGACAAAACATGAGTGGAAATAACTATACATTCTAATTGTGTAAATGTTATATTGAATAGGACATGATTAAGCCACACTTACATCATATGTGAAATAAACATGCCTTGATTTAAACACATAAAAAGCATGAAACACTCAGTACAGACATAGTCCCTTTTATAACCCGTCACCACACCCCCAGTCAACTCCCCCATAACTTGGTGACGATCTAAATTATACATGCACTGTGCCGACGAGAGCCGCTCTGTAGTAATAGCAGACTATGCGCTCCTGTTACTCTTGACACGCTGATTGACTGTCGCTCCCAGGAAGAGTAAGAATACCCATTTCACCAGTATTTTTAGTCGCTGATAAAACTTTAGTAAAAGGAACAAAGACTGAACAATTATAGTGCTAAAAAATACAAAATGAATGGTTGAAACTAACACTCGTATATCAAAGACTTAGCTGCGATGATACAACTTTGCTAGTACTTTAATTTGAATTGATTCGAGACAGAAATGCGAGTTTTATGGTTGCTTGTGCTGCCGCTTAAAATCATTACTAACTAAGGATGATGAGAATACAACATTGTCAGTCTCTTGATTTATAAAGTTGAAAGTTTAATCCATCAATGCAATATCTGTGTCTAAATGAAATGGCATACATGATGGAGTTTGGAGGGGTCTCTGAAATATAAATTGAGCATCGTAGAAACTGTCAGTGATAATCAGTATTCGCAATGAAATAATGTTGTGAAGAAAAATATGACATTCAACAACTACTGATGGAACTATTTCATTATAATTCAAAGTTCTCTGGGATTTTTGCCAGGACTTTGTCTAGCGACCATCTGTTTGCAGTGATGTATGGGTAGCACAGAGAGTCATATTGAAATGCTACGCTCATTGTCCAAAACCCAAAAGTAAGTTTGTTCGCTACACTGACAGACACTCAGGAAATAACTTATATACAGTAGTGTCTTGCTCATGTCTCACTGGTCCACATGTAAAAAAATGATATGATGCAAAGGCCTATCAGAGTCATCAGTAGTATAAATATACACAGTGCGGGGAATTAACTGAACATATACTGAGAATACAAGTTTTGAGTACCTGTTTTTAAGTACAGAACTCTTTAATTGTACAGTATTCAGAATACAGTTACTGTCCTAAAATCAACAGAATACATTGTGGTACTCGAACACACAATTCAGGCTTTAAACTGCACATAACTAATGAGAAAAAATATGAAACATCATTCATGTGGTGAGTGGATGTTTGAGTTTTCCTTCTCCGGTGATAGGAAATGCATAACAGACAATGAAACAAATATAAAACTGTTTTAAATCCTACATTGCTATGCTTTACTCTATAATTTATGTGCAACTCTACGTGAAAGTATTCTAAGTATTCAGAAGACAGTACTCTAATAGGACCATGTATATGTTACAAAATACATTTTAATTCAGGTATTCTGTATTCTGTAACTAAACACATTTTCAAAGTATTCTTCCCATAACTGCATATACACCAAAAATCTGACCATTATCTGATTTGGAGTTATCAGACTATTGAAATGCCTTGTAAACTGTTAGATCTGATATAAGTAATCTGATTTCTTTTGCGATTGTTCAGACCGGTGCAAGTTTTGGCAAGGAAAATGATACGAAAAAGACAAACTAATGTGGCAAAGACAACAATTAAAGAGAAAATGTTGAAGGAGTTGTTTTAAAAATAATTGTATGTTGCCTTCCAACAGTTACTCGAAAAATCCTTTGTTAGAAGTCACCAATTGTTTTTGATGATCAGATTTCTCTTGACAAACACACCTATAATCAGATCTAATTATCGAGATATCTGATTACATTAGTTATCGGATTTGTTTCTGGCCATATAGATATACCCATTCACACAACTGATAAAAAAGTGCAATTACTTTTTTTACTTTTTTACCATGATATTTGTCCTTGGTAGTCGAAAGGTCCAGATCGACCAAAATCCATGAACCACATGCCAAGTCTCCCAAAGTTTCTTGCTAAAGTTTGAATGACAGGATGCCTCATTTTGGGGCAGGACTAAAGGTGAAGAAGATCGAGCAAACAAAGATTTATTAAAATGATAAACGGCCAATAGCCTTTGGTCTTCAATTACCAGGGGGAGGCAGGTTTATGATTCAGTGCTCTCAGGTCAACAGCAGGTATAAGGCTGGAGAAGCGGGGGATTGTAGGTAGATCTTTTAAGTTTCTTTGAAGTAGAGATTATCCAACTGACGGGTCAAATGCAAAAGGACAAATTTCAATAAAGTATATAACCTGAATTCTATGTATAAAGTCATGAACAAAATATGTATGTTAGTGGGTGGTACAGTCCCTGACAAAAGTCTTGTTGCTTATCCATTTTGTAGAACAAAAGCTTATAACCTGACTTTAAATTAATCGATTGGTTTTAGAAATGTCTCATATGAAAGCTAAAACCCTCCCAAATTATGCTCAATATACTAAAATAAATTTGCTTCACTGAAGAAAGATTGATCATTTAATGAACACAGAAAGGTCAGATTTTGGAAAGACAAAAGTCTTGTCGTCTTGTCATATGATGCACCCAATCCTAGATTACAGCCTCACCTGTGATCAGTTACTGATCAATCAATTAGTGGGTGTGTATAAAAAGAACCCCA